CGAGCAAGTCTCAAGGACGTTTGAACTCTTTTTTTAGTCAGAACGAATCTCTCAATCGCTAAAACGAATTCATCCCCGATCAAAATACAGTAATGTCTCTCTATCGACGCCCAGATCGATCACAAAAATGGACAATTTGGGAAGACAAAGATACGATTATTCGAGCCCTGGGGCTCGTTTTCATAGTTGTTAACAATCGGTAATGAAAAAAAAACGAGCCGCGAAGCTCGAATAATCGTATCTCCTCTTCCCAAATTATCCGTTTCAGTGGACAATCTGAGCGTCAGTAAGGGAGACATTACTGTAGTTTCATCAAATCGGTTTATCGAATGATCTCATCAAATCGCCATCGAAATTTGCACGAACTTCCACGGTCTAAGCATTTCAAGGTGATATTTAAACGATATTTCGATAGCCAGATATACGATTACCGAATAAAGAATGCCCATCGAGGATACCGACTGCGCGATTTAGTATGCGCAACTTGATTTTCGCTATCAATCTTCAAGCTTCGGAATAAGTATGGACTCGCAACGGTCGCGGAGAGTTCCTTCCTGCCGTAAGTTATTAACAATAAAGTAGGTTTAATAAGCGCAGCTGCGAAGCGTATCGCGGGGCGAGAGGTTAAAGTCCCCGATCCATTAGGTTTCGCGCAGTGATTCGCGCTGGAAATGCGTGGCCCATGGCGGGCCGGTAATAAAGTCTGAAACGTAACGCGACAAGATTCCTGATCGCGACGTTTCAGATAGTTATCGGAATGATTGAACGTCGGGACATTAACGTCCGACTTAATACGATTCGTTACTTAGGTAACAATAGCCCACCGTGGTTTATGTAATTCTCTAGCATCCCGGCCCGATACGTTCTACACACCTTAATGTGTCGCGCGACTGGTTCGTGACGAGTGAGCCGGCGCTAACTGGCACCCACCGTGGAATCCCTAATGTCTGTGTGGAATTGTTCGGCCGAACAAACAAGTTTGTCCACATGAAATTGCTGATTTGTTTGCCTGGTCGTTAGTTGGGAAAAAGAGGCGATCCCGGGGATCGTTTTCTGCACAGCGATATCCGGAGACGTTAGTTCTCGAAGAGATTGTCTGTGACCGAAGTCCGACGTTATGCCAATAAAATCTTATCGCAACAACATTTCGCAAAAATCTTCCGAACAAAATTCTGCTCGAATGACCTTTCGAATCAATTCATCGAATGAAGTTCTATCCGAATAAATTCATCGAATAAAGTTCTATCCGAATAAATTCATCGAATCAAATTTTATCGAAGTAAATTCTTCGAATCAAATATCCGAGTAATAATTTGGAGTAAAATTTGATTCGAATAATATTTCCTTGGTACAGTAACGTCTGCCTCGCTGACGCTCAGATTGTGCTTAAAAATGAACAATTTGGGAAGATGAGATACGATTATACGAGTCTTCCAGCTCGTTTCTATAGTTCTTAACAATTCGTAACTATAAAAACGAACCGTAAGACTCGAATAATCGTATCTCCTCTTCCAAAATTGTCCATTTTTGTGGAAAATACAAAATCCGGAAATGGCGGGTTCCTTCGATCATTTGAAGCAACTTCTTCCTTTACAAAAATGTTCTCCGAGGCACCGTTAACGAGTTATCGACGAAAAACAGTGACCAATAAGAATCGAGTACGGCTGACGCGAGGCGGGCCAGCCAACCAGCGCACGAAGCCTAGTTCCGCCCATTGACTCGGTCGCCTCTCATTGGTCGCTGTTTTTCGTTAATAACTCGTTAACGGTGCCTCGGAGAAAATTGTTATAAAGGAAAAAGTTGCTTCAAATGACCCAAGGAACCCGCCACTTTCGGATTGCGAGACATTTTTGGGACACCCTGTATATCTCGAATGGAATTCCGCATTCGGCAACTTTCCGCCACAATTCGAAGTCTCGTATACGCAAGTACGCGATTTCTACAGCGATCACGTTTGCAATTTTGATCGAATGCTTTCCGCCAGGGGTGGTATTACACTCGCGTACGTTTTCGCGAATGCAGAACGCGTTCCACGTGCCTTTCCCTCTTCTCGCCATGCATTCTATTCTAATGCGACTGAAAAACAAAATAAAAGAAGAAGAAGAAGAAGAAGAAGGAGACGCGAAGAAGGAGGAAAAGATCCATAGGTTACCGTGGAATTTATTTCGACGATAATCGCGAGAGACACCCGCGCTCTTGGCCAAAGGATACGGGAACGCGGAAGTGCGTGCGCGCACGTTCAACGCGTAGGTTTGTATAGCCGCGAACCTGCATAAGCCCGGGCTCCATAAGAAGCCATTGTCGTGCAAACAACGCATTACACGATAGCACGCGGAAAATGGTTGTCGCCGGTACCGTAAAGACTGCCGGGACCTATGCGAGATCCGATATCTATGGTCTTTGACTTAATATTTGCGGTACACTTTATAACTGTAATCCTACGGGCCTCGATTCACCGGCGCGGCGTCGCGTCGCGTCGCATCGTCGTCGTCGCGATGCTACGAGCACCTAACTTCTCGCCTTGAATCTGATAATAACGATGCCTAGAAGAAACTTATATTGCCCGTAACTTATCGGCGACAATGTTTTGAGGCGGGCCTCGAGCAACGCAGACTTTATTGCCGCCGTTTTTCTTTTTTTCTGGTCCGATCGTTATTTGCACGGCGAACCAGCCTTTTGTTTACGCGATTTCATTTATGTTCGACCACCGAACACGTCGGACGGAGCATCCGCAGGATAATTCCGGGTCAGATGGCTCACTTTTCTTTTTCGAAGTGACAATACACCGGGTGTCGCGCATTTTTCGGGTGTCCATATTTTTCCGTATACAGGTAGAAATAAAACTGAAATGTTATGTAACAAAAAGTCCGTAAATGCTTCATTGAGAAGTTATGATATGATAACGTAGCAACGTGCGAGAGACGGATTAATTACAGAAATCATTATCGTCCGCGGACTTTTTGTTATATAACATTTTAGTCTTATTTTTACCTGTAGAACACACAAAAATGCGGGACCCTCCCCCTCTATAATGAACAGAATCATTGTTCAATAATATTGTTCAATGCAAAAATATATTTATGAAGTTAAATATATTTATAATTGCGGTATTAATATAAAACTTAGAAATAATCTTGAAATTGAAGGAAAAAAAAGAAATAAATTACAATCCTTATAAAGAAAGGAAAGAAACTTCAGAAGAAAGAAAAGAAAATACATCCTTTGCAAAAGGCTGGACCGTCCGGGCGCGATGACTCGTTGGTTTCCTGGCACAAGTTTTGATTCTTTCAAACGAGACCGGCGAGCAAACGAAATTCAAGCTTTCTAGTTGGAATTGTAGAACGCCGAGGAATACGGCGAAGAATTTTTATCGGAATTGCGTGGAATAGGTGAACGTTCGATGGTACGAGTATAAGTTCCCCCGATGCCAGAAGATGAATTGCCTTGCGACGAGTCTCTTCCACTAAATGCTTCCGGTAGAGTGCACACAGCTGTAATTTGAAGTTTTTGCCGTCCCTGCTTTTATGGTGCTGCAGACACTTCGTCTCTAACCTCGAATCGGGTAATAAGAGTGGCAGAAAAAATTTATACTGTTTGCAACTCATCGTGACATTGTTGCGAAGTGGGACGTGGGAAGATTAGTTTTATCCCGCAGCGCCAACAGAAGGGACTCTCCGCGTGCCGTAAACTTAACGTTTATTAGTACAATCGATTCACCTTTAATTTTCACGGTTCGTTGAAACGTTCGTTAATGCTCTGCGCGAGGACGAGGCGGTTTTATTGTACGCTTCCGGTGGTGCGCGACGACGTTTATGCGCGTTGACATTCGTACGAAGCAAAACGTAACCGGAAATTCGTCGCGGGGCCCCCCCGTCAAGGTAGAACTTAAAAAGGCAAATTTGATCGGACCGTTTCTGTCAGAATGGAGTCGAGCTTCGCGCATATCCCACTGTCCTATTCCTATTTTCAACGGGGTTTCTTGTACATTATATATTCAACGACGCGATAAATTATTCTTTTGTACGCGCGCTTCGGCTTGCGTCCCCTTCCACATTACGGATTCTATAACGCGAGATAAAAAAGCATTTTACAGACACGCTTCCTTGTCCACCGAGCTGAAACACGGTGCAGTTTTATCGGATTGCCGGCAGAAAAACGGGCATCGGCATTATTTACGTTCGTCCCATACTTTTACCTCTCCGTCATTTTACATTTGACACCGAAGCGAATTGTTTCCCTCCGCAAGAATTTCCATCCGCGACGCGCGGCGCCGATCGTCTACGATCCTTCGGAATGGAGATGCTTTCGCGAGTATGTACATATACGCGACTCCTCTGAAAAATTGAATGCTCTCCGACACCACCGGATAACTGTGATCCCGAGCTATCGATTCTACCTTGCAACAAAAATTCGCCGCCGAATTTTACGCCCAACGAATTCGATGTGATAACACCGTTGAAAAATCTACAACGAAACGTTGATCTTTGTCATTTCACCGACTCCGACAAGCCTTCTCTACACCGTAGTTTCATCGATTTGTTGACGCAAGAACGCGTTCAAGCCTCGGTTGCATCATCGTTCTGTCCTCGTTTCATGCTCAAGTTTTATGTTTATTAGACCGATAAAATATTATTTTACACGACCGTTCGCGTCCGACACGTTAGAAATTATACAGCCGGCCTTAGAATTACGGCGATTAAAACATGCAAGTATGTATCCGTTGCTCGTGGCACTCGAACGGAGAGGCAGGCGACAGCGACTGCAACTTTGTCTCCGCGATAAACTTTACAACCGTAATCTCAGGATCGTAACTCTTGCTTCCGAGTCGCATCGACGTTTTCTTTCCTTTAAAAAAAAAAAAGAGAAAAGAAACGCATGCTTGAGAGATGCGACGATAAACTTTTACAACGTCGAACACGTTCCGCCGTCGCGTTTTTCGTACTTTATACGCACGACTGCCGATTTGCAGTCCGTATTGGATAAAAGTAACTTTTTTCTAGGTGTCCACTTCAAATGCGGTCGATCTTGGAAGAACGTTCGTCGAAGATGCGAATAACGACGTAAGGCTGATGACATTTATTTGCGAAAATACAGCTCTTTCCGCGGAGAAATGATCGACGACTACACTCGTACACGATAAGTATTCGAACGCTTACGTTTCGTCGTAGATTTCGCGGTTCTAATTCTGTGTGTTCCAAGAAGAAAGCCATTTAATAGCAAGGAAAGTGAAATTGTACGTTTAAAATTCGCCGAAAAATTTATTTATGAGAATAATTCATTCTGGGACAAAGTATTATTCTCTGACGAGAGTAAATTTAACGTTTTTGGTAGCGACGGGCGTAGGAAAGTGTTTGGAGAAAAAAGAACACAGAATTAGAAGCGCGAAAAACCGACTATAAAACATAATGGTGGATCTGTATTAGTTTGGGCCTGTATGGCATCTAGTGGAGCGGGAAACCTCGTGTTCATCGGTGGGATAATGGACAAAACGAAATACTTAAAAACTTTGCAGGAAAATTTAAAAAGCAGTGTATCAAAATCGAATTTACCTAGCGATTATTGCTTTCGGTCTGACAATGATCCGAAGCATACCGCTAAAATAGTCAAACAATGAGTATTGTATAATGTTCCACACGTGGTGCCACATCCACCGCAAAGTCCCGATTTAAACCCCATTGAACAATTATGGGATGAAGTAGAAAGACGATTAAGAAATACGGTTATTACTTCGAAAGAAGCGTTCGAACGAAATATTATTGAAATATGGCAATCGATAGATGCAAATGTTACTTCTGAGTCGGTCCACTCGATGGAAAACAGACTTAGGGCTGTTATAAAAGCAAAAGGTGGATCAACTTCCTATTAACACGTTCCGTGCCACGTGTACCATCGATGGTACACGCTTGCATGTTTACTTAGTGAACTGAACAAATTGTTTACAAGAAATTTAGAACCGAAGAATCAATTTCCACCGCAAGAATGGGCGTTGATAAGTTTTTGTTACGTTGTTATGTGTACGAGAATTAATAATTGCACGTAATACATCAAGTTTTAGTCAAATATCAAAGTGTGAAGATTCGAGTAAAAAAAGCTCGGCACGGAACGTGTTAAAACCATTAATCGTTCAATTGAAATAACTATTAATTGTTTCGTTCGAATACTTTTGCCAGCCATTTCTGGTACGTGTTTACAATAAACGTACAGTAAAAACGCTATATATCGTTGAATTATTTTCTAATTTTGCTTACGCAGTCTTAAGACCCATACCTTGTTATATGTGTCGTATTATATCAAATGCTTCGGTTTAACACATATATTTTATCAATCGAATGTTAGAAACGTAAGCGTTCGAATACTTTCGTGTACGAGTGTACGTCGAATAAAATGATATCTGTAAGCAACGTTACCACTTTCTTTTTCGATGGACGTGCCCCGCGAACTAGCTGATAAAATTGTACAATGGCAATCAACGCAATGTCGAAGTACCTCGTTGAAAACTGAACGAACGCAGATAAAAGCGGCCGGGCTTCATTCGTTGATCTCAAATTTATTGCCCGTATCTCCGTTATCAGCGGCTTAATCTGTGTTCCGACACGACGTCTCGGAAACACGCAACTCCGGCACACTGTCGTGTCCCGAACCGAATCGCGAGCCAGTTTGCTGAAAAGTTTCGAGCATCGGCAGTTTCAGCGCGATATTCGACGACGTGTCGATTTTCGCGTTAAGGAACAAAGATAAAAGCGTCCGCGACCGACGTGCCCGTGGAAAACAGGATACGATTCTAAGTCGATAACGAGCGATCGAACACGGGAGCTCGTTTCCTCGTGGCCGAACATCGTCGCCGGCCCGACCATCTTGACGGTCGAATCGATCCACGAAGCGAGTGTGGCCCTGAGCAACAACCGTCGAAATCGTCAGTCGGCGTTTACACGTTCTGCGTGAGAAACGAGGAAGAGAACCGTCGCTCGGAGATGTTCGTCGTTCGCTTAGGTGAGTAACAATCTCGGCCGTGTCCCGCGTGAAGAAGAATAAACTGCGAATCACGAACATATATATTCCAGAACTTTCGCGCGCTCGCGCATAGAAGACCGAAGAATCCGATTACGACGAATTCCGCAAAAACAATTTCGTTCGAGCGAAGATGATTTTGCAGCCTCGAACGCGCCTCGATGCGTAGCGTGTGTACCATGCGATCATAAATTAATACATATCTTGCCGTGTTCCATTTTCTTTCTGCACGCTGGCCGCCGCGCGAACCGTCGAAGATTTTTGAACGGTGCCGTTCAACCGTGGAGATCGCCGTTTAAGATCGTTACATAAATAATAGAGACGGGCTAAATGTGTTCGGACAGCGACGATCGAGGCGTCGTGTACTTAATTGCTACGCCAGATAATCAAAACAAGCTGAACGAGGCTGTTCAGTCGTGGACCAACCTTCGTTGAATTTGTCTCTGGAAAACCGAGGCGGCTGCAGTCATGGCTATCCTGGGGATAGCGGATTACGCTGTGATCGTGGTCACGTTGCTGATCAGCTCGGGAATCGGTGTGTACTATTGGCTGACAGGCGGGAAACAAAAATCGACCGACGTAAGCACGACAATCCTAACACGTAAGATGCTTTATCACCTTAAATAGGAAGTTTCTGACGGTCTCTTGGGCCATCTTCTTGGAGAAAATTAAATTTTCAAAACGCGACTCGCGGTATAAATAGTTCTCGGTAAAAAGATGGAAATTGGGCGATGGTGAATGTCGAGGAACTAGAAATCTGCTTCATAACACGATTTATTGTGCATTGATTGTCAATGCCTACGTAGTACGGTGGTAATATTAATTTATTGTAGAAAACTCGATTAACTTATTATTTTATTATATTTATTATATTTATTTTTATTATATTTATTATTATTTTTTTATCCATTTATGAGAAAAACGAGCATACGAAACATGGAACAATGAAAACAGTTGAAGATTTTCAAAATACTGTGGTACCGTTTTCAACTTACTAAATGTTTTTATTCGACTTCTGTTTATTATTATTTATTTATTCATTTATTTACTTCTGCTTATTAGCAGTTCAACTGTATTTTATCGCTGTAATTATCTGTATCAACTCTACTGTTTATTATTATTTATTTATTTATTTATTTATTTATTTACTTCTGCTTATTGTCAGTATGGTACAGCTATCTTTTACGGCTTGTCTAAAGTTGTTATTAAGAAACTCAAAGCTAAAAGAAAAATCTGAAAATCCTACGAGAGCCAAGAACTGAAAGAGACGCGCAGTAATGTCTCTCTAATTGACGTGCAAATGTTGCAGAAAAATGTACAATTTGCGAAGAGGAGATACGATTATTCGAGCCTCGCGGCTCGTTTTTATAATTGTTGGCAATCGATAACCATAAAAAAACATAAGGCAATCGATAACCATAAGGCTCGCACAATCGTATCTCCTCTTCCAAAGTTGTCCATTTCTGTGCACGATCCGAGCGTCAGTAAGGGAGACATTACTGTACCTATAAATTGCTTTCTGGGCGCCGACTGTTTGCACAAAGATCAATTCAGTGTCTGATAATCGCGATGTATGTGGATCCAGGAATATTATTTAGCGAACAGATCGATGCAGGTCGCACCGGTCGCGATAGGGTTAACGGTCTCGTACCTGTCCGCGGTCAGTGTGTTGGGAGTGAGTTCAGAAACTTACGTTTATGGCACCCAGTACGCTGTGGCCAATATTGCCTACGGGATTGCTACGCCGGCCATAGCTTATTTGTACCTGCCGGTGTTCTTCAAGCTCGGGACGACTAGCACCTTTGAGGTGAGTTCTACTTTCAAGAATAGTTCCTTTTTTAAAATTCTTCTTTCTTTAAATTTTCTTCAAATTCTTGAACATTCGATACAATTGCACGTTGCTAAACGCGTCGTCGGACAAGGTTAGACAGCAAAAAGCTTCGTTAAAACGAAACTGGACGTCGTTCGGCCGAAGATTTGTTAAGAAACTCTTCGTCAAAACTCTACCTGCCTGTTTCAAGCTTGCCAATTGTGCAGCTGTATTGAGACAATGAAACAATATTGTTTTTTTTCTGAATTACCTTAAGAAAAGGCTATTTGTTTTCGCAACAGATGCACCGAGGTGAATCGATACAATTTGTCATTCGTATTAACGACATCGTCGTTTTTAATCATTTCCTCGGTAGAACGAAACAATCTCTACCTCTCGTGTATGTCTTTCACTTACTATCTCGTTTCTACGGTAGAATTGAGCAGATACAATTTAAGATAGTACTAAGATTAACACGTTGAATGCCGGCACTTAACTTGGCGGTGACACCATGGGGGCCACCGGTGACCGGCGCGCCCAAATTGATAGGAATATATATAATTTCAAAGAAATGTCAATATCTAAAATTTTGTATTATTACCATTCGTCTATTCAAACAGTGACCCTTGTCCCCAATTAACATGTGAAACATGGTTACACACTGTGACTTATCTATTGCAGATACTATTTCAACGTTATATGAATCGCATAAAAGAAAATGCATTATGGCGCCACGGACAATTTCTGTAAAACCGGCGTGGCATTCGACGTGTTAAAAGAAATTAAGAATATCGATGCATCAATTCGAACTTATCAAAATTATTTAAAAAAAACACCAGTGCATGGCTGCTATATCCTACAACCGAGGCAGAAAACTTCTGTCTGGCATAAAAGTCCACAATCTATCGATAACAGTTGGTAGAAATAACTCAAATCTCGGTTTCGGTTCACGAGGAATAAATAACATTTATACCCTGTAGATCGTTCGACAAAGGAGTTAGAAATTCGCGAACGTCGACGAAAGTGCGATATGCTGCTTGAAAGTTCCAAAACAACGTTCCATTCTTATTTCGTGCCTATCTTTTTGCCGCGAAGCGTATCAGATGCAAACGAGGCTTCGCCGATCGGGAGACTACCGTAACATCTCGTGTTATTTGCAGTACCTGCAAAAACGGTTCGGAAGCGCAGCAAGGACTGCAGCCAGCTTGGCGTTCATGCTGCAACTGTTTTTGTACAGCGGGGTGGTGCTCTACGCACCCGCGCTAGCTCTCGAGGCTACCACGGGTATCTCGACGACCGCGAGCGTGGTCGGCATCGGATTGGTCTGCACGTTTTACTCGACGATCGGCGGTATCAAGGCGGTCCTCGTTACGGACGTATTCCAGAGCACGCTGATGCTGGTGTCCGTCATCCTGGTGATCGTCACCGCGGCCGTGAACGTCGGCGGCTTGGACCAGATCTGGGAGATCGCGCTAAATGGATCGCGGATAGAATTTGACAAGTAAGTGTTCGGTGGTCCCGCACTGTCCTGGAACCTGTTACCGACTTTCTGTCTATCTACAAGGTGTTTCCAAAAAATGTCTCGCAATCCGGAAATGATGGGTTCCTTTGGTTATTTGAAGTAACTTTCTCCTTAGCGAAAATGCAAACCGCGGCTTCGTTTACGAGTTATTAAGGAAAAACGTCGGCCAATAAGAAGCGAGCTCTGCTGACGCGAGACGGCCGAGCCAATGAGCGGAGCTCGGCTTCGACCGCTCGACCGCTGGCGCGGTTGGCTCGGCCGTCTCGCGTCAGCAGATCTCGCCTCTTATCGGTCACTGATTTTCGTTGATAACTCGTAAACGAAGCCGCGGTTTGCATTTTCGCTAAGGAGAAAGTTGCTTCAAACGATCCCAGGAACCCTCCACTTCCAGATTGCGAGACATTTTTGAGACATCCTGTATTTCCGACTCGTTAACACGACGTTTCGTCGCCTGATAAAAATTTGCACGAGATCATAGCGATCTGTAGGAAAAAAGATTTGTTCCTTCATCGAACAAATCGGCAATTGCTCAGTTGCCAACCCAATAGAAGCACTAAATCGCGAAGTTGCTCAGTTAGAAATGTTCCTCTTTTTTTCTTCAAGACAACCTTCGCTGTTCCGTGTGCAACGCGTTTACTCTTCCGCAATTATCACGTTTCTACGAATCGACTTGCGAACCTCGCGGATTCGTGGAAAACGTAAGCGTCCGAGACCAAATGAATTTGAATCGGATAAAGTTGTCGGACGGACGAATCGAATTTCCAACGCGCGTCCGCGCGCGCTAATCGACAACAATGTGGATCCATTATTTACGCGAGGACACCGGCGACGAGCATAAAATTTATTCAAAAGCCGCCGAGACCGTCTTTACGTAACAACACGATGGTCACGCGTGCTTGAGAACGGCGGCGAACGCGTTAATCGGTACCGATCGACGAATTAAGTTCGACACCGGGCAACGATAAAGCGATTAGCGCGACGAATATAGCCGCGTCTATCCTCGGATCGATTCGCTCGCCGACATTACACACCCGTAAATCGGCGCGCGAACACCGGGGCCCGATTGTTAGCGAGAGGCGTGATGCGGTTAGCACACTTTCGAATAATCCATCGAGCGTGTAACATTCATTTTACAAGGAATCCAAGCCCGTATCGACACTGACAATGGCATGTACATTCATTCAGCATTTCAATGGACCCAACGGTACGACACACCTGGTGGAGCTTGACGTTTGGCTGTTTCTTCACCTACCTCTCCTTGTACGGCGCCAATCAAGTTCAAGTTCAGAGAATGTTAACCATCGGGTGAGTACCCGCCGTTGACTTTCTACCTGGCGTACGGACGCGCGTACGCGCGCGTATATCCCGCGAGATATCGCGAATTATCGGCGTGCACACCGGTATTCCGTAATTAACTGACGTCAGCCGGCGCGTGGTGGCGAGGAGGGCGACGCTTTCTTCCGCGACGATATTATCGACAAATTATTTACAGCAACTTCATTAAAACGAGCCGCCAATTGTTTTGCAGAGGAAGGAGAGGAAAACCCCGTTTCCGGATCGGTTTTATGAGAACGCCGCGGCGTACGAACGGCCCGGAAGCCGATCGGCTTAAGTTCGTTGACCTTGAACAACGCCACTAACAATGCGAAGCACGATCTTTTTTATTACAATTGAGTAGAAATGGATCGATACTAATATTTTATTATTTTCTCTGCGTTGTTTTACTTTTATTTCGTTTTCTTTCCGTCAGTCATTCCACGGTCGGTGCTCTGCCATTTATTGTTCATTTATGAAGAAATTAACCGACCGAAAGATCGTACGATAAAGGTGTGTTCGCACTGCGAAACTCGTTTTTTAAAGAAAAAAGTGGACTTACACCGACTGGCTTCTAAATCATGTAATTTATAGAAAAACCCCTTGTACTATAACGAAGATTAATTTTGACGAAGATCTCGTACATAATCTACCGAATACGAATCTCATTTATTTCGTTTAGATAGAAGCGAAATTTGATTCTTCTAGATCGAAATAAAATTTGATTCTTCTGTTATCGAAGTCTAGAAATAGAAGTACAGTAAAGTCTCCTTCATTGACGCTCGGATTGTGCACAAAAGTGGACAACTTGGGAAGAGAAAGATACGACTATTCGAGCCTTGGGGCTCGTTTTCATAGTTGTTAACAATCGGTAATAAAAAAAACGAGCCGCGAAGCCCGAATAATCGTATCTCCTCGTCGTGGTAACGGAGTACAGTAATGGCTCCCTAATTGACGCTCAGATTGCGCACAAAAATGGACAATTTGGGAAGAGGAGATACGATTATTCGAGCCTTGCAACTCGTTTTTATAGTTGTTGACAATCTATATCCACAAAAGAACGAGCCACAAGGCTCGAACAATCTCTATCTCCTTTCCCGAAATTGTCCATTTTTCTGGACAATCTGTGCGTCAATTACAAAGACATTACCGTGGCGCAGAGGTTGTCGCCCGCGCGGCCGAAAACACCGCACGGAAATTGCTTTCGAGCGGGCATAATCGCGACAACTATTCTGGAAAGTTGCTCCCATCGGACGTACACCATAAAAATGTTCCGGCTCGTAAACTATTATGAAACACGCCAGTTAAAATGCTATACCTAATCCACAGATTACTATCATTACATTCCACATAAACAATTCGATAAAATAAAACAGGTTTATCGCCACCCTGCCCTGCCATTAAGTTCGCGTAAAAAAAGGTTTATCGCTTTTGTAGAACACTGGCCAGATGGAATAAAATCTTTCGAGCATCTCGAACGTAATATCGTTCGTTATTAAAAAAAAGAATATAATTTGTTCCTTCCAACAATCTCCAGTTTCTCGACAATAAGTTCCTCAAGGATCCCGGGCTTTTCGTTATTTTTGCAACGGCTGCAGTCGCCCGCGTTCGTTAATCGAACCGCGATAGCCGAAGAGCGCGATCTCAATCTTCCGGGCGATAATAGGCTGCGCGGATCAGCGTTCGCGTTTCATCTCGAATCAACGTCCAAGAGGAATCGCGGCCCGTGTGCTGTAATCCTTGGAGCGTTGCGTTGCGTATCAAGTTCAGGTTGCGTTCTTTCTAGGACGCATCATCGCGATTCTCTTCCTAGTAGCGTGACGACAGAGAGACGAAGGAATTTTCCTCCGACTTTATCAGGATCACGCATCTCGCGTGCATTCCGACGGTAGCGATCGTTCGATAAGTCGCCGGCTGCTATACGGCTCGCGATGCGACTTCTCGGCATCCTCTCTCGTTATGAGATACCTCGATATTAGCCGGGATGCTGTTGGATTATCCACTCCTCCGATTCCTTCGGCGGTATAATCGCTCGTGGATGGCGAATATTTAAATAAGTGATCATACTATAAACGTTACGATTATAGCTCGGCTCGCTCACAAATTCGTGTTCCGCTCATCTTATTTCGTGATTCTGCACACTTTTATGCAAACATTCTTTCGCTTTACAGGTCATTTGTATCTTGCTACTTGTATTCTTGCTACTGGGTAAAAATGTTCGGAGAAGTATTGGAAATGTGTTGTTAATCAAACACCATTGTTCGTACGAAATCATGTTTCAAGATTTGTTCAACGTCGCAGAGATCAGTACACGTATCGAAAATAGTTATTTTATGGCAAGGAAAATCGTTAATCGAAGCAGTATCCGCTTAAGATGTACTGGAAGTAATTATAAATAATATTAACACTTCGCACTCGAAGCCATTTTAACGGTAAATCTAAAATAATTTTTCTCACCTACGCTGTCTCTATTTTATATATTTTGTATATTTATGCGTGTGAAATTGAGTCTTGTGACTTATACAACAGCTATACTTGTAACAATTTTTCAAATCTAAATTTTGTTGATGTAAGAATTATATTGAAACGTGAAACATTTTTTAGCGGTGTCTCGGAGTCACCAACCGAGCGCAAAGGGTTAAAATGTTATTATAACTCAAAATGTTAAGAATTTGTCATAAATCAAATTTGTAGCGAGGACCTGTTACAAATGAATTCTTATGAAAATGTATTAATTAATTAATACTTCGATTTAAAATTAAATTAAAATTAGAAATATTAAAATTAAAAATGTTTATTTAAAAAAAACCGCAAGGATCGCTTTTAAAAGATTCTCAGCCAGCTTCTAATCGATAAAATCTAATTGAAAATAGTCCACATTACACAATGCAAAATAATAAAAATTCCAACACCATTTTCTGACCGACCCAGTATGCCGTCATCGAAAAGATGAGGCCCAAGGTTCATTGGCAGACGTTATAGCTGCTCTCTGTCTCTCTCTCTCCTGTCAATCACGCGTCATGAAACACGAGTTTGATGGACGGCTACGCCGACGAATTCTGCTGTTTAGATCTCGTCTGTCGAAAAAACGGAATGTTCGCCGACGGATACTAAATTTTTGCACATGTTTTTTTTTCTTTTTTAGGAACGTACGCGGCGCTCAGGCAGCGCTCTGGTGGAGCTGGCCGCTGACTTCGGTAATGTCCCTGGGCCTCTGTTTCTCCGGGCTTGCGATCTACACGAGATACCGCGGTTGTGACCCCTTAACGCTCGGAAGAATCAATTCGAACGATCAATTAATGCCTCTTTACGTAATGGACATGCTCTCTGGATATCCGGGGATACCGGGCCTTTTTATAGCTGGGGTTTTCAGCGCTGGCCTGAGCACTATCTCTGCCACGGTGAATTCCCTGGCCGCCGTTATACTCGAAGATTTTATCAAACCCCTATACCGTATAAGGTAAGAGTCGTAAAATCGCGGAATGAACTGAACTTATGATCAGCTCGTCAATTACCGAGCTGGATACCACGGCGGAGGATCGGAGGTATAGGGAATTAAATGTTTAATGCCGGTGGAAAGGGGCATAGTGAGCAAATGGATCTGCGTTCCAGTCGAATTGATGGATGCGAACGGGCTCCGACGTACAGGCTTCCTTCGGAAGACTATAAGCGCGTTAGATATCAAATCGGACGTGTAAAAGTAGCATGAAAAAAAATAACAGAACTCTGGCGGAAAGCGTACGATCGAAATTGCCGGCGCGGGAACCGATCGAATCGCGCGCGAAAAGAATCATGCTGGAAAGGACTAGGAATCGATAGTGTGGCAAACGTGACATGTAACCGACACTTCCGAACGCCGTCTATATGCTACTAATACGTTCGATCTATGCAGATTGTGTCGTCGCATTTTCTTGCATCAGAAATATCTGCCACGTCCAATTTGATCGAACATTTCTTGTCACCGTTGTGAAGAAGTTGACAAATCGATTCGCACGTCGATTCGTCGAACGACACGAAATTATTAACGTTCCTATGTCATCATCGTTCATCTTCGCACATTTATGTCAGACGTTAACGTTGGTAGCTAAACAAAACGCGGATCTTGTCGGATCGAACTCGGCCCGCCCGAATTACTTTCATTGCCCCAAACACGCGTTTAACCAACGAAAACCATTGGACAAAGTTCATAGTTCGGTTCAAAGTTTACACTCCGTAAAGGTAACGAGAATTTACTTGGATTTTGTGCGATCGTTATAATTCCGATGGTTAACCCTTAGCGCTCCGCGCGTTTCTCGCGGCACATTTTTCGAGCGGAGCGCTAAGGGTTAATAAAAAGTCGCGTTTACGTCGTTTTCACATCGATCGTTTACAGCCGGTATATTTACCAATAAAGATCCACGGTCTGATCAAGATCGACGGGGATTCCCAGCAGACTAGCTGAAAACGATGGGGATATTAGTAGATCGGTAATTAAGTTGCGACGTGTTTCGTTACTGACCGCGCGATTAAACTGTGTTCAGAGGCAAGGAGATCACCGCGACCGGATCGATCATCGTCAGCAAGCTTCTGGCCCTCATAGTCGGCCTGACCTGCATAGCGCTCGCGTTTATGGCACGTTACCTTGGCGGACTGCTCCAAGCCGCGCTGACGATCTTCGGCGTAGTCGGCGGGCCAGTATTCGGTCTGTTCACTCTTGGCTTGTTCACGGAGTTGGCCAATGAGAAGGGAGCCGTGATCGGTCTGCTGACCAGTCTCGTTTTTTCACTGTGGATGGGATTCGGCCAGCCGAAACCGCCGATTCCAAAATTGGACGTGTCCACTTCGGGATGCAGCAATGCTACCGGATATTACGATTACGCCGAGCCGTCGCCCTTCGTTGGCCAGTAAGGAAACTATGCATTTTTCCCATTCCGTTTATCGTACAACCGCCGTGCTAAATCGATCGCGGTCTCCGGATCTCGCAGCAATTAGCCGGTTTAATTAATCCGCGGATTACATGACCATTTATCATAGATCATAGATGGATCGCGTACATTCACAGCGAAGACTGCGAACAACATTTCATTTTCAATTGCAGCAGAGACTCTCTTATCAGAATTATTTTTACGATGTTCTGATATCCAAACACGTTCCGAGCATCGTATTAATTAGATACATTATCACCTGGCAGAGAACTCGAATGAAATTTTTAGATAATAGAATGTTTTCGTATCAAGATATTATTATACAAGAATAAACCTTCGGATAAGGTGGACTCTGCTGATATCCAAACGTTCTATGATCCGAGCATCGTGTTAATTACATGTATTATCGCCTAGCAGAGAACTCGAACAAAATTTTTAAATAATAGAATGTTTCGGTATCAGGATATTACGAGAATAAACCTTCGGATAAGGGAGACTCTGCTGTAGTTCGAATCGTTGAACCTAGAGATCATATTTTACTTGGACGCTGTTCTTTTTCATTGTCTCAAATTAATGATCGAACTAGTTTACCTTCATTCAACCCCAATTTTGAATCGATACATTATTACGATTTCACTTGAATAATAATAATAATAATAATAATAATAAATAATATCCCTAAACGGACGGAGAGGGGCATTGAGATCTCATTTTGTTGCAGACCGAGCGGCGACGACTCGTACTTCTATCTCTACCGAATCTCGTACATGTGGTACTGTCCGATCGGGTCTGTGGTCAGTTTCGCGGTGGGACTGTTCGCCAGCTGGATCCTGAATGTCTTTTTCAAGGAGCAGCCGAAGGAGCTCGATCCGGATCTATTCAATCCGATCAAAGCGCGGGCCATGAGACAACGACGAAAAAACAACGAGAACGAATATAGCAGCAACATCGCGCTGGGCACCGTTCCCACGCGCGTTGACACTTACGATAAAACTTAGTACGGTGAAACGTATATCTGGAGAAGTCGATTTACTTTGCACTTGTACTCTGCTCCACGACGAGAACGTCGAATCGCGGACTGAACTTGCGACGCGCGCGACTGAACATTCAGGATTCGTCCAAATTCATGCGGATCGCGACGATCTGCTTCTATTTATTGATTTCGTAAACTCGCCACTTGGAACAACGAAAGTGCTGAAACGAAAAGGAACAGCGAAATGGAATTTGTCGTTGCATTTGAGAGATATAAGTTCGTTTCACTTTTCGATCATTGAAATCGTTTCGAATAGAGAAAGTTTGGTCGAAACTTCACATTAATTCGTGCCTCGTGTCAATTATATTATAATAATATTATATATAATTATATAATATATTATTAATAATATTAGTCTAACTTTCACGGATGCTGAACAAATAGTATGCTCCGCACGACCTTCCATGAATCGTAAACGACGCGAATGATCTCTGACTTATCTCACTTTGCCTTAGATCTTCATTCCCGAAGCTAATTATTTATCGTTTCGTCGCGTTGCTTCTACACCGTTGTATCAATATCGCGTCGAGGAGATTTAAACAGACACAAACCGTAAAAATCAGGGTCGAACGAGAGCGAGGAATGTAAATTTGCATCGGCCTCGACGGTCTCGCAGCGGTTAAGTAGAAACTGCGAGCAACGGACAGACGAATTACCCGTGATAACCCGTCGCTGTACAACAAACACGCGCGAGCCACGCTCTATTATATAATCGAGCACATTTATATTCTGAATTTCTTTATTCGAATGGTTTTAATAAATCGCGAACGAAATAAAAAGAAAGAAAAAAATAGCCGTGCTGAATTTTACTCGGCCGAAGAAACTCCTTTAATAATCCGGCGAACAGTTTAAGCAAGACTCTGTAACAACAATTTATGTCCTCGGTGAAACGTTCGTATAGAAGAATTCCGTCCGTCGAATATCTTGCGCATTTTTCACGACACGCTCGTGCCTCGAACAGAATCGATTTCAAGAAACCCACGCAAATCTCTGAAACCGGTTAATTACGTCCACTAAGCCTGAAACAAGTTCGAACTTTTACTAGCTAATGGGTCAGCCCGAAATAAATGGTTCTTCGCGTCGAGGATAGTTTCGCATTCCGAGCATGTCGCCGTCTTGCCGGAATATATAACAACACGCCTAATCACCCGCCGGGGTGCGCGGGTTCCCGAGGGCGTCGCGGGTTCCCCGTTTCCGGGCTAGCGGACGCGCCAGCAACGTCGCAACAAGGGGAACACAACTCGCGGCGACCCGTTGAAGAAACAAACAAACGATAATTACGGGACACCCTGTAGATCCGTTCGCCAGCTCGGACGATTCTCGATTGGCCTTCACCTAAAAAGAAGCCGTAGTGGTCCCCGAGCCGCCGCGTTGCCCGGGAGAGACACGTGTCGAAAAAGAGAGGAGAGGATCGCTCGCTGAAAAATCGTAATCGAAGCAATCCGGCTCGATTCCACGAAATCACGGTCGATATTGCTCGTACTCGGACGGGGCCGGGTTTCTTTCGGAATTCCTTTCGGATGGGGGCCACGAAGAAGAAAAGAAAGGGAGACGCGGGTACGGGAAACCGGTGGCGAAACGAAGAGGGAGCACGACGTGGTTGGAAGAGGAGGAGGCGGTGGCGGAGCGTTCTTCTCCTCCCTGGTACGGGCAGACGTAAACACCGCGGGACCACGGGTGTGCTGAACGTTTACCGAAACGTTCGCAAATCACGATGGAATGCCGTCAGACTGGTGTTCCCGTGCGCGCCATACGGTGACATACAGAACGAAGCAACGACCCGTGCACTGTGCAGCGCTTACGTAAGAAAATAACGCCGCGGAGACACCGGCACCTTCTCGGGCTACCTCGGACTTCGTTTCGGCCTGCCTGCCGCCTACATAACAGCCGCCGTTGACCACCGCTTCGATAACGAACATTATCTAAACAAGAAATTTAGGAACCGTTCCACCACTGCCAGCCGAATCGTCGCCAATTGAACAGGGATTGTCAGGCGGCGGATGTAAAATAGGGTAGCGGAGCCGGTTACTGTGCGATGTCTAAGTGCCGAGCCTTTGGTTTGTTTCCGGGCATAATTAACTTCATTCTTTGGTCGAATAGTAATAGTAGAAATTCTTTTTATATTTATTTCACTTTATATTATTTTTATTTTATTTTATATTTATTCTATTTTATCTTTGATATATATTTATTCATTTATTGTATTTAGAAATGAACTAAATAAAAGGATACACAAATTTAATTTATCTCATTCGATAGATATAAAGATAATTGTAAAACGAACCAAAGGCATAGCGATTGATAACCCCGCAATAACTGGCTCGATTACTCTACGTCGACGTTCGCTTGTCAACTGGACAATCTGAGAACGCTCCAAGTTCACCGATCATGGGAAAAGGCGATCGATCATTACAGAATGGAAGCGTGCTAGCTGGAAATAGTATTCGGGGTGATTCTTCGTCGGTTACTGGCGGATCCAGCTCATCGACGATATATAGTACAGTAATGTCTCCGTAATTGTCGCCCAAATTGCGCACGAAAATAGACAATTTCGGAAGAGGAGCTACGATTACTCGAGCCCTGCGGCTCGTTTTTATATAATTGTGGACAATTTATAACTATAAAAACTAACCGCGAGACTCGAATAATCGTATCTCCTCTTCCCGAATTGTCCATTTTTCTGGACGATCTGAGCGTCAATTAGAGAGACATTGCTGTACGTTCTCTTTCTATTCCAAACACAGGCTTCCGATCTTTGTTCCAACGTCCCCCCCCCCTCCCCTCTACAGTCCTCCTGTTTCCTATTCCGACCAATGAACAACACACAACTTTCGTTGAACTTTTCCAAACGAAGCTCGGCGTACGCCGCGCCGATGGCAAAAGCGTTGAGCAACGGAATGTCTCCTCTCGGCCGTAATTGCGTTACGCAATTCACGCGTTCCGCGCACTTTGGTTGTTCCCCGCTATTTAGCAAACAACGAGGAGCGCGGACGGTTGCAGAAACCAGCGGAGAATACGGAGAGAGAATTCGTGGACGAACTGGTGAAATGGTCGAGAAGCGATCTCCGTTTCTTCTTCCTCTTTCTAGAACGATTTTCAAAATTTCGAGATCTTCGGTAGAAGAAGTGTTCGTACTTTTATGAATATTGCTCTCTTGACTGTGTTACCGGAATCCTTTTTTCTAGTCCAAGACTAATAGAACACAGAATTCGGTTGAATCATTGACCCGATTGCTTCTCTTAACCTTCGTATTATCGACGATTGGACGTTCCCGCGAAGCCCCACGTTTGGGTCCAAATGGACCCATGATCTTATGTATACGAACATTTTGAACTAACACTTTGTTGCTATTGTCATTATTATTATTATTATTACTATTATTATTACTATTATTATTACACTATTATTATTACTATTATTATTACTATTATTATTACACTATTATTATTACTATTATTATTACTATTATTATTACTATTATTATTACTATTATTATTATTATTACTATTA